TGAATAGAGAAAGACAAAACCCAGACCCAACGCTTGAATTCAGCGACGCGCAATTGCAGCAATACCAGCAGGACGGATACCTGGTGCGCGCTAACGCTTTCTCGGCAAGCGAAGTAAAGCACCTGCATAACGCCCTGGAGCGCGCCTGTGCCAACGCTTTAAGACAGGCATCAGCGGGACACGAGTATTTCCTCGACGGTAAAAGATTTGTTGATGTGGGGCGAAGCACCCTGCAGTTTGAAGCCGCCAATCAGGTGTCTGAGTTACAGTCAAATTTTCGGGTTATAGAACCCATCGTCGAATTTGATAACGCCCTGGACCAACTGGTAGATGACCCGCGCCTGACCGTACCAATGTGTTCGATTCTCGGGACCAGAGATCTTTCGTTGTGGACAGCCAAACTGAATCTGAAAGGGCCAGGCGGCGCTGGCTTCGGCTGGCACCAGGATTCACCTTACTGGATCCACAACTGCGATCATGTGGATCTGTTACCCAACGTCATGTTGACCCTTGATGACCAATCTATAAGCAACGGCTGTTTTGAAATCGTCAGAGGCAGCCATCAATCGGGTATGTTACCAGGCACCGACGATGGCACAGACCTGGGCGGTTTCTATACCGACCCAACCACCTTTGATCTGAACAATGCCGTGCAATTTGAAGTGCCTGCCGGTTCGCTGATCTTCTTTGACCCACACTGTGTGCATGGGTCTGGCGCTAACAACAGCACAGAAAAACGGCGGGCTTTGATCTACACCTTTCAACCCGGCGCCCAAAACACTTTAAAAACAGGCACATTGCGCCAGGTAAAACTAATCGATTGTCTCTGACATCTCCGGAGAGGGGATCGTGGAGGCATACAGAGCCCAGTTATCAAGTAACTCATCGATAACCACGGAACCCACCAGATACAGCGACTCTAACGACGCCTCCATACCGGCATAGCCTTCATTTTCACGTAACAGATTCTCCGCGGCACCAACCCCTGGCGGCTGCATGGTGTAATTACTACCCGCCCTTAAAACCATAAATCGATGCTTATCGACAAGACCTGAATTGTGCAGGTATTCAATCGACAGATAGGTGCCTGTTTCCTCCATTGCCGAGGTAACCATATCGGTGTTGCCGTCAGACCAGTAGCTGACCCACCGGTTCGCCCAGTCGTTCATCATTGCACCATGCCAGAAGGTCAGTGCAGCAATGTGACCACCTTTGAGCACAAACGGAGGTTTCTGTGCGTTGGGGTGATTGGTGTACTGTTCTCGTGTTTTCGCAAGCCCAGGCAGATCCGGCAACACAACGGATTCCGTCAGCTCGAACGCCCAATCACGCAGCTGCTCATTGAGCAGAAACATCTCGCCATTGGGTTGCGGTTTATTCGGATCAAAAGGTTTTTGGGTACGGCGCGCAAAATAGCCGACGTCCCAATCCTCAGGCACTTCTCTGATGTCGATCTCGTGTCCGAGATCACCGTCCACAAGATAAGCCGACCAGGCAGCAGAGCCGATGGATGCATCTTCTGGATCAATCCCTGCTATGCCAGCAACTAACCAATAAGCCTGTGTCAGGTCAAAACGTGGATCAAGTCCAAGCGCCATGGTCGAGGCAGCTGCTTTGGCGGTGCCAACACCGGTGATCATACCCAGGATCTGGCTGTCTGCGTTGTAGTAGAGGTCGTGGTGGGCGTGGGGTAATTCAAACTTCTGATCCAGCTCACGACGCTCCTTCCAGAACTGAAACTCGCCTGGTTCGTCGCCTTCAATGGCGCCGCGCTCAAACATGGTGACCACCACTATTTTGACCGGCAGTTTTTCCGCCACTGCTGTTGTCTGTTCCTGCTTGGTCTGCGTGCAACCGAACAGCAGACCTAAGCTCACCACAGCGCCCACAACATACTTCAACACCATCTGCATCATCTGCTTCCTGTTTTCCAAACGAACTCTCATCCCTGCAAAAAAATTAGTCACATAACTCATACTGTCGGCAGACAAACCCGAGACGGGGTGGCTGCGCATCTGCGAAGACTTTGTCACCCTTGCGCAGAAAGTCTTTTTCGAAACGCTCGATACGCTTGTTGTAAAGTGCCAGAACACGTTGTTTTTCAGCAGCACCAAGAAAACTGTATGACAGCGAGTTTCGACTCAGGGTAAGGATCTCGTCCCAACTCAGGTCAAACTCAGTGACCGCCACAAAAAACTCATCTGTCATTGTCGAATCCCACATGCCCCGGTCGTCGGTCGACAAGGCCACAGGTACACCAGTGCGCAGATATTCAGGAAACGGGTGCTGGTCATATTGCGTGACATATTCAAGCAGCAGATTGGAAATCAGATTTACCTCTACCAGATAAGGGCCATAACGCATATCGATAAGGGTACCTGGATCAGTGATGAGATTAACGCCGTGACCGATCCGGTCCGCACCCAACAACAGAGTATCGCGGACATGGTAATTCGGTTCATCCACCTCCCCCGCATGAATCGACAGTTGCACGCCGCTGTAGGTCTTGCGCAGCTCTCGCAAGGTGTCCAGAAACCGCAGCGGATAACCTTTGTCGTTATCTTCGCGGCCCACAAAATTAACCGCGACCACCTGCTCATAAGCATGGGCGAATTTGTAAAGGTAGGTCAGAATCTCTTCGGCGTCTGGTAAAAAGCGCAGCAAAGACACCTGCATCCGCAGGGTCATACCCGTGTCCAGGGCGTCCTTCCGGGCGAGACGATCAATATATATGGCCATCACGTCATCCGGCGTAAGGGTCTGGCCATCCGCTTTTCGAAAGCCAAAGATCGGCACCTGAGGCTCCATATAGACCAGACCTTCGGCGGCAAAGGCCTGCATGTTACGCACCAGAAATTCCCCCACCACATATGGGTTGCGGACCAGATCACCCAATCGCTCCCAGTGTTTACTGAAAAACTCATCTCGCCCTTCGTAAGGCTTATCCAGACGCAAGCCGTTCTGCCAGCGTTCAATCTGCACGGGGGTGAATTCATCCAGCGCAACGTATTCCTGTTGTTCGCAGGCGTCGAGTGCATCGTAACCCACCTGATCAACGGTCTGATAAAGCATAAGGTAAGGCGTGCTTCGACCACCAATCAATCCACTTGGACAATTTTCGATTTTGTGTTTGGAATAGTAACGATAACCATTAGCTGACTGCTCAAGCGCAATAGCATAAATCCATTCCGACAACACGGAACCGGTAATGTGCAGGTGCAGATCCCCACCTTTGGGCATGACATACAAGAACTGGTGAAGTTGCGCCGGCGTCGCACGATCTTTAAAGGCTTCGAACCAGTCCTGTGCCTGTACCACCTGAACGGACACGAACCCGAGCATAACCACCAAAAAACGGCAAAGCCGTTTACCAAATAAGCTCATAACATTTCCATCAAACAAAACTGTATATCGATGCTGCTGTTTTGCACCATCGGGGTGCGATAGAACATCCTATTGTGGTCTTTGGGTGCATACAAGGCTGACGCAGCCCACCTCATTCGCCCACTGAAGCGCTGGGTGCTGCTGACGCAGTCGTCCCTGCAGGCACACTCCTACCCGGCACTGAAACTGAAAATTCTGACCAGTTCTCGAGTATCGCCTGAACCACAGTATTCCCAACACTGAATGCCGATTCCAGCGCTGGCAGACCCTTGTCAGCATATTCAGCAGTTGCACTCCAGGCAGCGGTTTTGTCAGGAGGCGGCATGGAAAAATTACTCACCGTGCGCAAAACCATGACCCGCTGCAGATCGACCTTACCAATCTCGTGCAGCCGCTCAAGCGCCGTCAGCGTGCCACTGTCTTCCATATTCGTGGTGACAAACTCAGCTTCGTCACCGGCATACAGGGGCACCCAGTCATTCGCCCATTCATTCAACAGGGCACCGTGCCAATAAGTACTGGATGACAGCGTGTCGCCCATCATGACAACAGGTGGTGCGAGTGCTGCCGGGAACCCCGTGTACCCTGCCCGCCCGCGCTGCAGTCCCGGTGAGTCGGGAATTTTAATCTGCTCTGTGAGATCAAAAGCCCAGCGTGCAAGATCTGCGTTCAAAGCAAAGTGGATCGTATCCAGTGTCCAACCGGTGGACGTATCCTGTGGCGTTTCGGCAGGGCGCTCTGCACCCAGAGGGATCATGCCGTAAGGCCAGTCAGCAGGGATTTCGCGACCGTCAATTTCATATAACAGATCACCGTCAACTATATGGTTGGCCCAAACCGCGCTGCCCAGCGTGCTGTCCTCGGGATCGCCCCCGGCAATGCCGGCTACAAGCCAGTAACTTTGTGAAAAATCAAAACGTGAGTCCAATCCCAACGCCATTATCGTCGCTGCGGCGTTGGCAATACCACCCCCCAGGCAGACGCCAAGCACACCAGCTTCATTCATACGAAGTGGATAAGGTCCAAGCGGAAAGTCGAGTTGCTTTGCCAAAGGTAACCGTTCAACCCAGAACTGAAACTCACCGGGTCTGTCGCCGCTGAGTTCTCCATGCTCGAACATTGACACAACCACAACTTTGATCGGGATTTGCGCCGTTTCCGACTGCATCTGCGCAAGCAGCGGCTGAGTAACCAGGCCTATGGTTCCAGTTATCAGCGTAATAGCCACCCTGCAGAGGCTCGAAAAATCAAAAATCGATCTGCTCACTCACCTACTCTCCTGAATCTACTGAACCCTTAAGAAACGCCTGTTAACCCGCACACCCAGACACAAAGCTCCAGGCTGGTCTTGATGAGATGCAATTCACGGACCAGGCCGACTTTGCTGCGCTAAAAAGCTATCATGTTGCACAATGGATAGATAACAATGAAGCCGCGAGCCACCACCCGGTCGGCGCGTCTTTAACTGCCATTGCCATGCCTACAAACACGTGGCTCAATATTTGCTTTCCTGTTCACAGAGCAGGTGAGCCAGACTGAATGCGCTATCGTACAGAACGGCACATAATTACGCCCGGCAATTACCGCGCCAGGCATTTATACAAAGGAAGACTCTGATGGGCGGTTTAACAACCCATGTTTTAGATACGGCACATGGCAAACCCGGCAGCGGCATCCCGCTGACGCTACATCGCGTCAGCGCTGAACGAGAGTTGCTGGTTACGACGGTCACCAACAGCGATGGCCGTACGGACCTGCCCCTGCTTGATGATAACAGCCAGGTACCCGACACGTATGAGCTGACCTTTTCAGTTGCTGAATATTTCAGAAAGACCGGGGCCATCGACGACGCGGCATTCCTCGACAGCATCACGCTGCGTTTCACCATTACCGACAGCAGTCATTATCACGTGCCTCTATTGGTGTCGCCGTGGTCATATTCCACTTACCGGGGTAGTTAGCTTGTCAGCACAGCTCACAGCACACCGGGGTCAGATCGTTCATTGCCTGGATGACACCGAAGCAGGACTGCAGTTTTTTACTGACGGTATGTTGCTGGTAAAAGATGGCAAGGTCATCGAACTGGGACCTGCCGAAAATATACGTGCTCAACTTTCTGCAGACAGCCTGATTATTGATCATGGTGAACACCTGATTTGTCCGGGACTGATTGACTGCCACGTCCACTTTCCGCAGCTGGATGTCATTGCATCTTATGGCGCGCAGCTGCTCGATTGGCTGGAAACCTATACGTTTCCCTCAGAGGCACGTTACGGCGACCCTGAAATTGCACAGGCAGACGCAAACTTTTTTATTGATGAGTTACTGCGTAACGGCACCACCACCGCACTGGTATTCGCCTCTGTGCACCCGACATCTGTTGACGCAATTTTTACTGCCGCACAACAGCGCAATATGCGTTTAGCTGCGGGCAAGGTACTCATGGATCGAAACTGTCCCGCTAACCTGCAGGATACACCGGCAAGTGCATACCACGACTCGCGCGAACTCATCGAAAAATGGCATCACCAGGACCGCCTGCTGTATGCCATCACGCCGCGATTTGCGGTAACCAGCAGTGATGCGCAGCTGGCAGCCGCCGGACAACTCGCGGAGGAGTTTCCCGACACATTGATACACACCCACCTGTCTGAAAATTTAGACGAAGTGGCCTGGATCACTGAACTGTTCCCACATGCTCGCAGCTATCTGGATGTTTACGCCCAACACGGCTTACTACGGGAACGATCAGTTTTTGCTCACTGCATTCACCTGCACGAAGAAGACTATCAGGAGTTTGCACAGCACGGCGGTGGTATGGCGTTCTGTCCGTCGTCAAACCTGTTTTTAGGCAGCGGCTTATTTGACCTGAAAAAAGCCCATGCTTATGGCGTCAACGTTGGTCTCGGCACCGATGTGGGTGGCGGCACCAGTTTCAGCCTGCTGCAAACCATCAACGCAGCCTATAAAGTCCTGCAGATGCAGAAACAGAGCCTGCACAGCGCCGAGGCGCTTTATCTGGCCACGTTAGGCGGCGCTAAAACCTTAGGGATCGACGACAAAGTTGGGAATTTTCTATCTGGCAAAGAGGCCGACTTCATTATTCTGGACAACACGCCAACCCCACTGCTTGCACGTCGACTGGCACAAGCACATACACACAAGGATGCATTGTTCATGCACATGATTCTGGGTGACGATCGTTCCATCAGTGAAACGTACATACTGGGTGAACGGGTTTACAAAAAAGGCACCGTGTCCTCATGAGTGACGTGATCAACTTTATTCTGAATGGTGAAAAGGTCCACGCAACATCCTGCGAACCGACAAAAACCGTACTGCAATACCTGCGTGAAGACCTAAACCTGACCGGCAGCAAAGAAGGTTGCGGTGAAGGCGACTGTGGCGCCTGCATGGTTGTTGTTGCAGAACTGGATGAACACACTCAAGTTCTGTCTCACAAGGCCATCAACGCGTGTATCGCTTTTCTACCCACCCTGCATGGCAAGGCCTTGTTCACTATCGAAGCCCTCTCTCGATCCGCTGCCGAAGCACACCCTGTACAGCAGGCCATGGTTGACCTGGATGCGTCGCAGTGTGGATTCTGTACGCCGGGTTTTGTCATGTCACTGTTTGCTCAATATGAAAACGGTGTGCAGATGAATGCGCGCGAAGTCGATGATGTGCTTTCCGGAAACCTTTGCCGATGCACCGGCTATCGTCCTATCAAGGACGCAGCGCTTGCGGTCTATGACTATCCAGCTGTTAAGAACCCCATCGCCGAATCGGCTCGCTTAAAACTGATCGACCTGCAGGCATCCAGCCGTTCTGCACCGGCGTTGCACATGCAAGCCTCCGGTCGCACTTTTTCATCCCCCACCACCGTCGAAGAATTGAGCACACTTATATTAGAACACCCCGACGCGCAGCTACTTGCCGGCGGCACGGATATTGGATTATGGGTGACCAAGGCACATCGACAGATCGACCAAGTCATCTACCTGGGTGATGTCGCCAGTTTGAAAACAATCGAGCTTACGGAGACAGAACTTACCCTGGGTGCCGCTGTGAGCTGGAGTGAAGCGATGCCGGCTTTGATAGAACTTTATCCCGCCTTCGCGGAATTGTTAACTCGCTTTGCATCCGTACCCATCCGCAACGCCGCCACAATTGGTGGCAATATCGCAAATGGATCACCCATCGGTGATTCGATGCCGGCTTTGATGGTCGTTGGTGCTCAACTGCTGCTGCGCCAGGGTGATAAAACCCGCACCGTGGCACTGGATGAGTTTTACCTCGCTTATCAGCAGACTCAGCTGACCGAGGGTGAATTTATTGAAAAAATTATCATTCCGCGCCCGCAAGCAAATCAGACCGTTGCCGCCTACAAAATTTCAAAACGTTTCGACCAGGATATTTCAGCGGTCTGCGGATGTTTTGCGGTTGAACTGCAGCCCGACACGCAGATCGTGACAGATATAAAGATCGCATTTGGTGGTATGGCCGCTATTCCAAAACGCGCAACTCACGTCGAAGCACAACTGCTATCCACCATGTGGACGGAAGCAAATATAGATCAGGCGTTAGACAGCTTTGCAGATGATTTTTCCCCCATAGATGACATGCGTGCAAGTGCTGCTTATCGATCGCAGGTAGCGCAGAACCTGTTGCGTCGCTTTTTTCTTGCAACCACGCAGCCCTCTGCATTAACCAATGTTTATCAATATGGCCGTTAATCCAGATGTCAAAGCCACCGGTGGCGTCGGTGAACCTCAACATCATGACAGCGCTTACCTGCACGTATCTGGTAACGCCCGCTATACAGACGATTTGCCGGAACCGAAAAATCTCCTGCACATTGCCCTGGGTGTCAGCCCACACGCCCATGCCATAATTGAGCATATAGACCTGCAGCCGGTGCTGGCCCTGGAAGGTGTTGTTGACGTACTTGTGGAGGCGGATATCCCGGGTAAAAACAACTATGGCCCGGTTCTGGATGACGACCCCTTGTTAAGCGCCAAGCTGGTTCAGTATGCAGGCCAGCCAATATTTGCTGTTGTTGCCGAAGATGTCATTACAGCACGAAAGGCGGTATCCCTCGCTGTCATCCACTATCGCAAGCTGCCTTCCATCATCGATGCGCGAACCGCTCTGGCGCAGAATTCATTTATCCTGCCGAGCAAGGAAGCTACCGTTGGCAACCCTGTTAAAGCGTTTGCTGAAGCGCCACACCAGCTTACCGGCAGCACCAGCGTTGGCGGCCAGGACCAGTTCTACCTGGAGGGCCAGATTGCCATGGCCATTCCAGGTGAAGACAACAATATGCTGGTGTACTGCTCGACTCAGCACCCCTCTGAAATTCAACATGTTGTTGCACAGATTCTGAACCGAAATTCCAACGACGTTATGGTTGAATGCCGACGCATGGGCGGCGGGTTTGGAGGCAAAGAAAGCCAACCGGCATTACTTGCAGGTATCGCCGCGCTGGCTGCGCAGAAAAACGGACGGCCGGCAAAGCTTAGATTCGATCGCGACATGGATATGATAGTCACAGGCAAACGCCACGATTTCGACATTGACTATGCGGTAGGGTATTCAAACAGCGGGGAAATCAGCAGCCTGGATCTGAGCCTTGCATCGCGCTGCGGCATGTCTGCAGACTTGTCAGGCGCAATCAATGACAGAGCCATGTTTCATTGCGATAACGCCTACTATCTGGCCAACGCACACATCACGTCTCATCGGTGTAAAACAAATACGGTCTCCAACACTGCTTTTCGCGGCTTTGGCGGCCCACAAGGCATGTTTGCGATCGAGTATGTCATAGACGATATCAGTCGCGCATTGAGTCTGGATCCATTAGACGTACGGAGAACCAATTTTTACGGCGTCAATGAGCGGAATGTCACCCCTTACAAACAGGTTATCGAAGACAACATCATCCAGCAGATTTTCGACACGCTGGAAAGCAGCTCAGATTATCGAGCCCGCCGTGCCGAGATCAAAACATTCAATGATAAAAACACCCTGCTGAAGCGTGGCATCGCCATGACACCGGTAAAATTTGGCATCTCATTTACCACCACCCATCTCAATCAGGCAGGTGCCCTGATTCACATTTACAGCGATGGCACGGTGTATCTGAACCATGGTGGCACTGAAATGGGACAAGGTTTGTTTACCAAGGTGGCACAGGTTGTCGCCCACGAATTTCAGATCGACCTGGAAAGGATAAAAATTTCAGCCACCGATACAGCTAAGGTACCCAATACTTCTGCCACCGCAGCCTCCAGTGGTTCAGACCTGAACGGGCAAGCCGCAGCCGACGCCGCGCGGAAAATAAAAAAACGACTGATCAGGTTTGCTGCAGAGCACTTCAACACAGATCCCGCATCCGTTGAGTTTAAAAACAATCACGTTAAGGCAGGACAACACCGGCTGACTTTCAGCGAGCTGATTAAACTCGCTTACGAAGCGCGCACGTCTTTATCTGCTACCGGATTTTATGCAACGCCAGACATCCACTTCGATCAGGAACAGTTCGCCGGTAATCCTTTTTATTATTTTGCCTATGGTGCTGCGGTGTCTGAGGTTGTGGTGGATACCCTGACCGGCGAGAACCGCCTGTTGCGAGCCGACATTCTGCATGATTGCGGCAAATCTCTTAATCCCGCAATCGATCTCGGTCAGATCGAAGGTGGCTTTATCCAGGGTGTTGGCTGGCTGACAACCGAGGAACTGCACTGGGATGCAGAAGGTGTTTTAAAAACCCACGCACCATCAACCTACAAAATCCCGACCATTGCAGATGCACCTGTTGATTTCAGGGTAAACATCCTTGAATCAGCGGCCAACCATAAACAGACCATCTATCGCTCCAAGGCAGTTGGTGAACCGCCGCTGATGCTGGCGCTGTCTACTTTCTTTGCCCTGCGCGATGCAATCGCAACACCCAGTAACCCGCGTCCGCCACTCACCGCACCCGCAACTCCGGAAGCTATTCTTAAAGCTTCGCTGGCGGAGACAACGTTTTGATCGGTTGGCTGCAACAACTCAGCGAGCTACAGGCAACACTGTCTCCCCAACAACGCGGAGTGATGATCACGGTCGCCCGGGTACGTGGCTCTGCGCCACGGGAAGTGGGCGCCAGGATGTGGGTCACCACAGACATCACCAGAGGTACCATTGGCGGCGGTGAACTGGAGTACCAATGTCAGGCCATCAGTAACCAGTTACTCGAAGGCAACAGTGGCAATACAGCCTTTGTGCGGAACTTTCCACTCGGCAGTAACTGCGGTCAATGCTGCGGCGGTGTTGTCGACATCTTGTTTGAAACTTTCAGAGCAGCACCAACCACCTGGCAACAGCAGGTGACTGAAACACTGGCACAGGGACAAAGCGGCTATCTGACAACCGACCTTGCCGATGAGCCAGGCAAGAAGGCATTCAGTGCACATCATCCTGCCGTCGGTAAAACCACAATGGTTGAACACATCCAACCTGCAACGGCGGCGATTGCAATTTTTGGTACCGGACATGTCGGTACTGCGCTGGTTAATATCCTGACCCAGACGAATTATCAGGTGATCTGTATCGACAATCGTCCGCAGCAGTTACCGCTTGATGCCGCCACGAATATTCAATCAACGTACCAGAAACAACCAGCCGCTTATGTCAGCGCGCTCGCAGCAAAAACCGCTTGCGTAGTGATGACCCATAACCACGCCCTGGATTTTGATATTTGTGCCGCAATGCTTAAACGGGACGACTTGTGCTTCTACGGCCTGATTGGCTCACAGTCTAAGCGTCAGCGTTTTCAACGCCTGTTCAGACAGGCGGGGTTAGACGAAGTGCAGATCAATCGCCTGACCTGCCCTGTTGGTGACACAGCGGTCACGAGTAAACGTCCTGGCGAAATTGCCATCACCATCGCCGCACAACTATTGCGGCATCTTGAGGTCGCTGCACAAACAAACCAAACGGATACAATACATGCTGCCGTACATCGTTGATTGGCTGAGCCTGCTTGGCCGGTGGTTCCATATCATTGCGGGTATTGCCTGGATCGGCTCATCGTTCTATTTCGTCTGGCTCGATAACCATCTGTTGCCTCCACGAGACAAGCAGGACAGCGAAAAAGGTGTTGGCGGCGAAGTGTGGTCTGTTCATGGTGGCGGTTTCTACCATGCACAGAAATACATCAGCGCACCTGACCAGATGCCTGAGCCGCTCCACTGGTTTAAATGGGAGGCTTACAGCACCTGGATTTCCGGAATTTTCCTGCTTGCTTTGATGTACTGGTACGGCGCTGAAATTTACCTGATCGATCAGTCGGTTAACTCAATCAGCGCGTTAGCCGCAGTGAGTCTGGCCATCGGATTTATTGCCGGCGGCTGGCTTATCTATGATCTTCTATGTAAGTCACCTTTAGGTAAAAACGATACAACGCTGGCAATCAGCATTCTCTTATTTGTCAGCTTGTTAGCGTGGGCACTCTGTCAGGTATTCAGTGGCCGAGGGGCATACATTCACTACGGCGCGGTGCTCGGCACGATCATGGTGGCTAACGTATTTTTTGTCATCATTCCAGGTCAGAAGCGCATGGTTGGCGCTGCCCAGGAAGGGAAAGCGCCAGATCCACAATACGGTATCAGAGGCAAACAACGCTCGGTTCACAATACTTATTTCACGTTGCCGGTTTTGTTTGTGATGATCAGCAATCACTACGCTTCAACTTACTCCCACGCCTATAACTGGCTGATTCTGATTGCTTTATCTCTTGCTGGCGCGTTGATCCGTTACTATTTTGTAACCCGCCACAAAGGCAAAGCGCCGCTATGGCCGGTGGCAGTCGCACTTGGCTTAATCGCGCTTGTCGCGGTTCCGCTGGCACCCGCAAAACGGTCTGACGTCACTGCTACAGCCGTCTCTGTTGATGAAGCACACAGCATCATTCTTACCAGATGTGTTTCATGTCACGCGGAACAGCCTACATTTGCTGCCTATACCAGCCCACCGGGAGGCGTCGTGTTAGAAACTACAGAACAGATTCAGGCGCAGGCATCGAGGATTTACGAACAAACCGTTGTCAGTCGTGCGATGCCTATCGGCAATCTGACGCAGATAACGGAAGAGGAAAGAAGCAGAATTGCCAGTTGGTATGCAACACGTCCAGAAGCACAAACAGCAGCAAGTCCCGGTGAATAGATTATGACAGAGCGTTACAGCAGAGATCTCATTGGCTATGGGCAAAAACCACCGGAAGCGGATTGGCCAGGCCAGGCGAAGCTGGCACTGCAGTTTGTGATCAACTATGAAGAGGGCGGCGAACGCAGCCTGCTCCACGGCGACAACGAATCAGAAGCGTTTCTCTCGGAAATTATTGGCGCCCAGGCCTATCAGAACATGCGTCACATGAGCATGGAGAGTCTCTATGAATATGGCGCTAGAGCAGGATTCTGGCGACTGCATCGTCTGTTTACCGAACGCCAGCTGCCGGTCACCGTGTTTGGCGTCGCCATGGCGCTGGCCCGCAACCCCGATGCAGTGGCCGCGATGAATGCTGCTGACTGGGAGATTGCAAGCCACGGATACCGCTGGCTGGACTATCAGTTCATCGACGAGGAAACGGAACGCCACCACCTGCAGCAGGCCATCGATATTCATCAGGAGGTCACAGGCGCAGCTCCTCAAGGCTGGTACCTGGGGCGAACAAGCCCCAATACCCATAAGCTGGTCGCCCAGAACAACAGCTTTTTGTACAACGCAGACAGCTATGCAGACGATCTGCCCTACTGGGACACACAATTTGCCAATCCGCAGTTGATGGTGCCTTATACACTGGACGTTAACGATATGCGGTTTGCTACAGCCCAGGGTTTTAATACCGGCACCCAGTTCTATGACTACCTTATCGACACATTTGAGCAGTTGTATGCCGAAGGTCAGGTATCGCCAAAAATGATGTCCGTCGGTTTACATTGCAGGCTTGCTGGCAGACCTGGGCGCGCCGCTGCTCTCGCGCGTTTTCTGGATTATGTCCAGAAAAAAGAAGGCGTATGGTGTTGCACACGTGTAGATATCGCAAACCACTGGCGGGCCGCTCATCCCCTGCAGAGTAAGACAACATGACACTGGATCAGGACGCTTTTGTGCAGCGCTATGGTGGCGTTTATGAGCACTCACCCTGGATCGCACAGAGCAGTTGGGCAGAGGGCCAAAAGGCATCCACAGCGGCGGAACTATCGGCCATTATGTCCGCGATTGTCGACCAGGCGGAGACAAGCAAACGCCTTGCGCTGATCCGCGCACACCCTGATCTTGCCGGTCGTCTGGCGGTGGCTGGTGAACTCACCGCCGCCTCTACAGACGAACAGGCCAGCGCGGGTTTGGATCAATGCAGTCCTGAGGAATTTGCCACTTTGCAGCGGCTCAACCAGGACTACAAAAAGAAATTCACCTTCCCGTTTGTCATGGCCGTGAAAAACAGCAATCGGCACAAAATCATGGCGGCCTTTAAAGAACGTCTGGAAAACAGCTACGACACAGAATTTGATAAGGCCATCGCCGAGATTCACAAAATTGCCCGTCTACGTCTGGAGCAACTGTTTTGAGTAGTACCCCGCACCCGTTCCACCAATGGATAGATCTCGCGCAACCACGCCTGGGCAGCCAGGTGGTTTATGCAACGGATGATTTTTTTGCAGATAAATCGAGGCTGATTGACCCCAAACCGCCTGTCTTCATCCCGGATAAGTACGATGACAATGGCAAATGGATGGACGGCTGGGAGAGCCGGCGCAAACGTACACCCGGCTATGACTACTGCATCGTTAAACTGGGTACACCCGGGATCATCCACGGCTTTGATATCGATACCTCTCATTTCACAGGCAATTATCCACCGGCTGCGTCTATAGATGCGTGCTACAGCAATGCGCAGATCCCTGCCGAGACAGCAGAATGGGTAAACATTGTGCCCAACAGCAAGCTGGCAGGAGATAGTCACCTGTTCATGCCAGTCAGATATGAACAGCCGGTCACCCACCTGCGGCTGAACATATTCCCGGACGGCGGTGTCGCGCGTTTACGCGTCTACGGTGAAATCCGCAAAGAATGGCAACAACATCCGCCAGGAAGCGTTACCGATCTGTTTGCTCTGGAGAATGGTGGGCGAGCCTTAGCCTGCAATGACGAACATTTTGGCAGCATGCACAATCTCAATATTCCCGGCCGTGGCGTGAACATGGGCGACGGCTGGGAAACGGCTCGACGACGCACACCAGGTAACGATTGGGTTATCCTGCAATTGGGCACACCCGGCATCATCAGTGAAGTTGAAATTGATACCGCGCACTTTAAAGGAAATTACCCAGATCGGGTTTCTCTTAAATGTATCAACCTGCATGTCGACACAAAAGAAGACCTGGCAACAGCCTCAGCAAACTGGCCGCTGTTAATGGCTGAACAAAAGCTGACAATGGACCATATTCATACCTTCACCGATCTGAAACCCCACGATGCTATCACCCACGTACGTATGGATATTTTCCCGGATGGTGGAATCAGCCGGATCCGACTACGCGGCATACCCTCACTTTTGGAAGCCTAACTCTGTGAAACAGGAACTACAGCTACAACCCCTGTCCCAGGAACTGTTTGCGCCATTCGGTCAGGTGATAGAAACCAGAAGTGATGACAAAGCAGAAGACGATCGCAAACCGATGAACGATGCTAGATTTCTTCGTTTCGATAATCTTGCCACCACCGACGTAGCGCCCGGTTGCCACGCAATCATCAGCATTGCCCAGTGTTTACAGGCAACACAACTTCCTTACCCGATCACTCTGCTGGAAAGGCACCCTCTGGGTAGCCAGGCTTTCATCCCCCTGCAGCAGCAACAGATGATTATTGTAGTTGCGGAGTCTACTTCTAATGGCGAACCCGGAGAATTAATGGGCTTTGTCAGTAATGGACAACAGAGCATTCAATATCACCGTGGCACCTGGCATATGCCGCTGATCGCTTTTCAACCAGGCGCCACCTTTCTTATCGTCGACAGTGATGACTCACAACCGAACTGTGATGAATTCTCACTCAGCGAAGCTGTGTATATCCCCGCCTCCGCTTTGCCAGGCCAGTTTCAGGCGGTCAATAAACCCTGATGTTTTATAAATTCGGCAATATCGTTCAGACCCGTTGATTCTTTCAAATTAGTGAAAACAAAGGGTCGCTCCCCTCGCATGCGTTTAGCATCTGTATCCATAACAGACAGTGATGCCCCTACATAAGGCGCCAGATCAATTTTGTTGATGACCAGCAGATCTGATTTGGTAATACCCGGGCCACCCTTGCGGGGAATTTTGTCTCCCGCAGAAACGTCGATGACATAGATCGTCAGGTCTGACAGTTCAGGACTGAAAGTAGCGCTCAAATTATCGCCGCCACTTTCTACAAAAATGATATCCAGATTTCCGTGAAGATCCTGGAGTTCCGCAATAGCTGCCAGATTCATAGAAGCATCTTCACGTATGGCAGTATGCGGACAGCCTCCTGTTTCAACACCCCGGATACGCTGAGCGGGCAGCGCGCCATGATGGGTCAGAAACTGCGCATCTTCCTGGGTATAAATATCATTGGTGACCACAGCGATACTGAACGTGTCCCGTAACAGCTGACACAAAGCTAAAGTGAGTGCGGTTTTCCCCGAGCCTACCGGACCACCGATGCCGACACGTAATGCTGTTTTATTCATTCATCCAACCTCTTATTTAATCCACATGTTTGCTTCAGCTGCGAAACAATCGGCTGTATTGCGTTTCATGCCAACTGCTCAGCAGCGCCAGGCCCGGCAGCGAGCGACCTATGTCTGCATCATCCAACAAATCAGCGGTGGTCACTGCCTGTTGCAATTCGTACGTAAGCTGCAGCAACAGACGTTGTCCATCGGTTTGCCCTAATGGCACCAGTTTGATTGCGGCTGCAACCTGATTTTCAAGCCAGGCCCAGACCAGACCATGAGCGCCGTCAGTGCGCGTAACATCCCAACGAACACAGGCCAGCGCAAACATGGTGGCAAAACTTGGCTGCGGCAAGACACCGGCATCAGCGACATCAAGGTCCAGCATCAGTCGCTGCAGAGCAGCGCCGGTCTGCCTGTCTTCGGCCAGCAACTCCTGAGTTTCCCGCAGGCTCTGCAGCTTCTCGGTAGCCTGCACCACTGCATGAAGGTCCTGTTTTTCCCACAGATCGTAGAGACGGAAATACATCGGTAAATCATTGAAAGCAAACGACTCTCCGAGCAGTCCAGCCAACCAGTCTTTGCAGGACATAAAGTCATTCACATAGCCAAGTTCAACAGCCGTTTCCAGTCCTCCACTATAAGCATAAGCCCCAACCGGCAAAGTAGAACTGATCAATTGCCAGAGACGGACATCACTCATGATGGTGATGATGTCCATACGCGCCAGCTTCCGGCTCGAAGGGTTCATCTTCGTGCCTGATCTCCAGACCAAGCTGTTCACACATACCATCAAGCACATGATCTGCAAGGTAGCGTACCCAGCCACTCCCAACCTGCAGAGGCACGTGACGGTTCCCCAGGTGATAGGCTGCCCGAGCCAGCTGAGTAATGTTGTTAGCACTCACCGTCGAAACACGTTCAGGTGCAGCTTCAACAGATATCACCTCACCGGTGCTGTCGCCCAGACAATCGCCATGTCTGAGCACCGAGCCCCGCTCGATGACAACGGCCACATCGCGCCCATCAGCTAAAACCGCGCGGAAACGACTCTTCTGGCGAATCTCAAAAGGCAATGCCAGCACCCCGGTGCTGGATTCGGGTTTACTCAGTTTTTCTGTTAGTTCAAGCATGCTTAGAAGAGAAAATACTTTTGTGCCATGGGCAACTCCGTTGCGGGCTCACAAGTCAGCAAATTACCGTCGGCCCGCACTTCGTAGGTTTGTGGGTCCACTTCAATATCCGGCTGGTAAGTGTTCAATAACATGTCCTTTTTCTGCACCGTACGACAGCCTGTTACGCCCACTACCCTGTTTTTTAAACCTATCGATTCTGCAACGCCAAGGTCAATCGCTGCCTTAGACATAAAACTCACACAAGTATGGTTACGCACGGCGCCCAACGCGCCAAACATCTGTCGATACATCACCGGTTGAGGGGTGGGTATCGACGCGTTGGGATCCCCCATCGGCGCTGCGGAAATAAATCCACCCTTTATGATCAGGCTGGGTTTGGTGCCAAAAAAAGCGGGTTTCCATAACACCAGATCGGCGAGTTTTCCTACGGCGATGGAACCCACTTCATGGGCGATGCCGTGAGCAAGCGCGGGATTGATTGTGTACTTGGCGATGTATCGTTTTACACGATGGTTGTCGGCACGACTGCTGTCTTCGGGTAGCGGGCCACGTTGGGTTTTCATCTTGTGCGCGGTTTGCCAGGTTCGGCATACAACCTCGCCTACACGACCCATCGCCTGTGAATCGCTGGCGATCATCGAAAATGCACCCAGATCATGCAGAATGTCTTCTGCCGCTATCGTTTCCCGACGAATCCTGGATTCAGCAAAGGCAACATCTTCGGGGATACTGGGATCCAGGTGATGGCAGACCATCAACATATCCAGATGTTCATCAATGGTATTCACGGTATATGGTCGTGTTGGATTGGTACTCGAAGGTAAAACGTTAGCCGAACCACACGCCTTGATGATATCCGGCGCATGCCCGCCGCCGGCTCCTTCAGTATGGTAGGTGTGGATAGTGCGGCCTTTAAATGCAGCCAGCGTGTCTTCAACAAACCCGGATTCGTTCAGGGTGTCGGTATGGATCGCAACCTGAATGTCATACTGTTCTGCCACACTCAAACAATTATCTATAGACGCCGGGGTTGTGCCCCAATCTTCATGTAGCTTCAAACCCATCACGCCGACTTCCACCTGCTCTTTCAGAGCATCGGGCAAACTGGCGTTACCTTTGCCCAGAAAACCGATGTTAACCGGCAACGAATCTGCTGCCTGATACATGCGATGAATATTCCACGGTCCCGGGGTGCACGTAGTCGCGTTGGTTCCGGTTGCCGGACCTGTACCGCCCCCCAACATGGTAGTTATGCCGGACATCAATGCTTCGTCCACCTGCTGTGGACAGATAAAATGAATGTGCGCATCGATCCCGCCCGCGGTTAGGATCTGACCTTCGCCGGCGATCACTTCGGTGCCGGGGCCAATCACGATATCGACACCAGCCTGGGTATCAGGGTTTCCCGCTTTGCCAAGCGCAAATATTCTGCCTGCCTTAATACCCACATCAGCCTTAACAATACCCCAGTGATCCACGATCAAGGCGTTGGTAATGACCGTATCAACAACATGTTCAGAAGTTCGCTGGCTTTGCCCCATGCCATCCCGAATCACTTTACCGCCACCAAACTTTACTTCATCGCCGTAACGGGTGTGGTCTGCTTCTACCTCAATAATCAGCGCGCTGTCGCCAAGACGCACCCGATCCCCAACGGTAGGGCCAAACATATCCGCATAAGCCTGTCTTGAAAGCTTCGCCATTATTGCGCACTCCCCATATCACCCATCACCTTGCCCTGAAAGCCATAAGCTTTTCGCTCACCGGCAAAGTCCACCAGTTCTACATCGCGCTCCTGGCCGGGTTCAAAGCGCACGGCTGTACCCGCGGCAATATTCAGCCGCATGCCACGCGTTGCCTCACGATCAAAGATCAAGGCGTTGTTGGTTTCAAAAAAATGGTAGTGGGAGCCCACCTGAATGGGTCGATCCCCTGAGTTGGCGACAGTGATCGAACGTGTCGCCAAGCCTGCGTTGAGTTCGATATCACCTTCAGCAACCAGCACCTCCCCAGGAATCAGACCCGGTTCGTGCGGAATGGGATTGTGTACCGTCACCAGTTTTGTGCCATCGGGGAAAGTCGCTTCTACCTGTACTTCGTGAATCATTTCCGCAACGCCTTCCATCACCTGGTCTGCGCTCAGCAGCGTGGTGCCGTAATGCATCAGATCTGCCACCCGCCGGCCGTCCCGCGCCCCTTCCACAATCGCATTAGAAATAAGAGCAACTGCCTCGGGATAATTAAGTTTGACGCCTCTGGCAAGCCTGCCTTCCGCCACCAGCGCGGCTGTAAACAGAAGCAGCTTATCTTTTTCTCTAGGTGTGAGTTCCATTTATCTGTTTCTCTCTTCTTCGCGATCTAAGTGATCCTGATCTATATATTCCAACTCTATATGTTCCAGCTCTATGTGTTCCAGATTCGGGGTGGACAGGCTGCGCGCGCCAGAAGCAGCGGACGAATAAGTTCCCAGACCTGGATAAAGATCCGCCGCAGATCCTGCGCCTGCGCAGCCATGCCACGAATCACAAGCAGATCGTTTAACAAGGTAACGCCAACAGGGAAACTGGCAGAGGGAAGGACATCCCGCACTTTGTCTCGCAGCTCGGTAGTGCCGGGATATGCAAGCATTACGCCAATCGCCGTGTTCTGATTAAGACCCCAGGGCGAAGTCATAAATGAAGATTTTGCGTCCAGCATCAGACTGTCGTGCAACAGTAGCCTTTTTGAGTCTTGTACCGTCGTCAGAAAGCGGCCGTAGCCGTCGACAAAAGGCAGCTCGCCCGCTGGACGCCCCAGACACACAATCTCCCAGCTGATTAACCGCGCTTGTCGACCCAGAATAATCTGTGTCTGGCTGGCCAGTTTACTTTTATCGAACAGGATAACTTCCTGCGGCAACCACTCCAGGGTGCCGTCCACCTGCAGGGTGGTGGTTAAGCGCGACTGTGTGCATACGTTGCGATAGGCTTTTGTAGCACCGGGCGTAGTGATCAGTGTATGCGTAGAGGCGCCAACAGAGGCTGCAATATCCAACACATCATCACCCACCATTCCGCCGGGAGGATGCAGTACATACGTGTGATTAACACCTCCTTCCGGAAAGAAGGGTCGCTGCACTCGAAGGGGACCAGTGTGCTGGTGGGCCAGAAGCGTCCGCGCGCCTACCTGACTGTAATTCAGGCTGAGACTTGCACGCCAACCCTGCTGGGCCTCGCCTGAAGCTGTCTCAATGCCTGCACCTGTGCTCACTTCTACTTTCATCACTCGAAAACCAACAGCGTCAAACGGCATTGTGCGCAAGCTTTCTACCGCCGTCCATGAGCGAACACGTAAAATGTCCCAACGCTAAACGCGTCGCGCTCCAAATGAGTGCAGACCAGGCCGGCGTGAACAATATTGGTGCGGCAGAGAAACCGATTTGATTTAGCTTACGCATACTTTCAGAGGGCATTGGCGCGCAACAGATATCGCGCTAAGGTAACCGCATGCAGCGGTTTCTGACAAAAAACAACACACACCGCCGCTGCCACGAGATCGTCCATGCCATCTATTGATCAGTTTTTTCAGCTTTCCGAGCGCGGCACCAGTGTCCGCGTTGAAGGCACCGCAGCCTTTACAACCTTTCTGACAATGGCCTATATAACCGTGGTCAACCCCTCGGTACTGTCGCAGGCAGGCATGGATTTCGGCGCAGTTTTTGTTGCGACCTGCATCGCCGCCGCCGTTGGCTCTATCCTCATGGGTCTACTTGGCAACTATCCTATCGCTCAGGCTCCGGGTATGGGGCAGAACGCTTTTTTCACCTTTGCGATTGTCCTTGGCATGGGACACACATGGCAGGCCGCGCTCGGCGCCGTGTTTCTGTCGGGAATATTGTTTGTGATTCTAAGTGCCCTACCCATACGCGAATGGCTGATCAACGCTATCCCACGGAATCTGAAACTGGGCATCGCTGCGGGTATTGGTCTGTTTATCGGTTTCATTGCATTAAGCAATGCCGGCATCATAGTTGCTCATCCTGCCACCATGGTCAGCCTGGGCGATTTGAGCAGTGCTCCGGCCTTTCTTTGTCTGTTAGGCTTTTTTCTCATCGTCGCCCTGACCGCCAGAAAAATAGTTGGTGCCGTCATTATTGGCATGCTCGGCGTCACCATTATCGGTTGGCTGACCGGGCAGGCAGAATTTCAAGGCATCATTGCGCTACCTCCCTCAGCCGCACCGGTATTTCTACAACTTGATATAGCCGCTGCATTCAACATCTCCATGGTCACGGTAATCATCACGCTGCTGCTGGTCGACGTATTTGACACGGCGGGGACCATGGTGGGTGTTGCTACACGGGCAGGTTTAGTGGACCAGAATGGCAAGCTACCGCGCTTAGGCAAAGCCTTGCTGGCAGACTCCGGGGCGACCGTGATCGGTGCTTTAGTCGGCACCTCTTCGACAACCAGCTACATTGAAAGCGGAGCGGGGGTCGAAGCTGGCGGACGTACCGGATTGACGGCCATATTTGTTGGCCTGATCTTTCTCGCCTGCCTGTTTTTTGCGCCCCTGGCGCAGAGCATCCCTGCCTACGCAACAGCTTCAGCTTTGTTATTTGTTGCCTGCCTGATGGCAAAAGGTCTGGCTGATCTGGATTGGCAGGACATCACGGAATCTGCACCCGCAGTGGTTACAGCCCTGGCCATGCCGCTGTCTTTTTCTATTGCCGACGGCATCGGTATCGGCTTCATCACCTATGCTGGCATAAAGCTATGTAGTGGCGGCGCACGCCAATGCCCGGCAGCTGTGTATGTCATCGCGACCATTTTTATAGCCAAATTTGTTTTCCTGTAGACCGTACAGGTAATTTTTCTGTGACCACCACATGGATTAAAAACCCGTGCGCCAGTTTTGACGGTCAGCGATCAGGTACCGCAGACGGTGGTGTGATCATATCCGACAATACAATTATCGAAGTGCTGGCGTCAGGTGAAGTACCCAGTGGCTCAGTAGATGTTGTTTTTGATGCCAGCAACATGGTTTTGCTGCCCGGCTTAATCAACACCCACCATCATTTTTACCAGACCCTGACCCGAGCCAAAAAAGCTGCCCTGAACAAACCCCTGTTTCCCTGGCTTACTGCTTTATATCCGATCTGGGCAAATCTAACCAACGATATGATTGGAGTATCCAGTGAGCTTGCTCTTGCAGAGCTTGTGTTATCCGGATGCACCACCACAACAGACCACCACTACGTTTTTTCAGATCAGCTGGATGAGGCCATCGACAGACAGGTTCAGGCTGCGGATCATCTTGGTGTACGTGTGGTGCTGACCCGAGGGTCAATGAGTCTCGGACAGTCATCAGGCGGGCTACCACCTGACAACATCGTACAAAGCCAGCAGACCATTGTGGATGACTGCGAGCGCCTCATTCGCAGTTACCATCAGAACACGCCATACGCGATGACGCAGATTGCACTGGCACCGTGCTCACCTTTTTCTGTCACTGCAGAACTTATGCAGGCCTGTGTGGAATTAGCCGAAGAACATGACGTACTGCTACATACACACCTGGCTGAAACCCACGACGAAACGGCATTTTGTCTGGAACAGTTCGGCCTTCGACCAGTCGACTATCTGGATCAGTTAGGCTGGATAAACAGCAGAGCGTGGTTTGCCCATGGCATTCACTTTAATGCCAACGAGATAAAACGGCTGGGCTCCGCAGGCTGCGGGGTGAGCCACTGCCCCAGCTCAAACATGATTCTGGCCTCGGGAATATGCCCAGCGGCCGACCTGGAAGCTGCGGGAGTAAACCTTGCGCTGGGCGTTGACGGTTCAGCGTCGAACGATTGCTCAAACCTGATCCAGGAAGTACGTCAGGCATTGTTAATACAACGCCTCGGAGAATCATCACAAGCGCCAACCGACCAATTAACCTCACACCTTGATGCTTTGCGCTGGGCGACCCAGGGAGGTGCCAATCTCCTGAACCGCCCGGAGCTGGGTCGATTGTCGCCAGGCGCTGCCGCCGATATTGCTCTATTCAAGCTGGACGAGCCACGCTTCAGTGGCAGCGAAGACGGGCTCGCCGCTCTCATCTTATGTGGGGCGGATCATGCTGAAGCGGTGATGATTAACGGGCAATGGCGCGTACAGGGCGGCGCGCTGGTGAATATAGATCTGCCAGGATTGATGGCACAACATCATCAACAGGCTCAACAGCTGTGGGCGGCGCTGTGAAATTTGTATACTGAGTCTTTTCGAACCCCAGGACTCTGTTATGAACGAAGTGCTAACTGAAGACAAAAGCCATGTGCGTTGGATTACTTTAAACCGACCAGCAGCCATGAATGCCATCACGTCTACCATGCTTGCGGAACTCAACGATGCGTTTAAAGCAGCCGACGATGACGCCAATGTACGTGTCGTTGTATTGACCGGCGCCGGACGTGGCTTCTGTTCCGGGCTGGACCTCAAACAAGCTGCATCAGGGGAAGGCATTGGCGGTGCCGATCTGGCATCCGCCGGCGCCAGACACTACTCGACCAGGGAAATATGTACGGTCACCCTGCAACGTATGGATACGCCAGTCATCGGCGCCATTAATGGGGTGGCTGCCGGGTATGGTCTGGATCTGGCCCTGGGTTGCGATATGCGCATCATGAGCGAAAGCGCGGTATTGATGCCGGGCTTTGCCAAAATGGGTGTGGTGCCCGAAAGCGGCGGCACCTGGTATTTACCCAGATTATTAGGTTGGGCTAAAGCCTGCGAGGTGGCCATGCTGGGTGACAATATGGATGCTCAGACGGCCGTTGAGTATGGCCTGGCCAACACTGCCTGTGCGGATGTGGACTTTTCTGACACGGTCAATCAGTGGGCGGAAAAAATTGCGGGCAATGCACCACTGGCCATTGCAGAGATTAAGCGCCTTTTCCGACACGGCTTGACACAAGATTTCGAAAGTCACTCTCATCACGTGCTGATGTCTGTACTCAATCTGTTTAAGTCACAGGACTTCAACGAAGGCGTGCAGTCGTTTGTTGAGAGACGACCACCGGAATTTAAGGGCAGATAACGGGGCGCAATTGCACCCCGTTACATGGGACTTGCCGACCTGCCTGGCGTTTAGAAGAAACGCCGCTTCCCAGTTCTGGCTGATGAATCCCGCATTGAGGTTCACCAACGTGTAGGGATCAAGCTCCAGGTCAATACTGGTGACTTCTGCACCGGTTGCTCCGGCATACGGCAGGCCACTGACAAAGGCACCCGCGCGTTGTATGTCTTCCTGGGTTTGAACATTCAGAGAAAACGGTACTTCTTGTGCCGTAGCAGCTCTTTTGGTTTAACAGAGCGTGGCGGCATCTTAGAAAGTTCTGCGACAAATGCCACATTCTGGTGCGGCTGCAACAAGGTCAGCCGTTCAGTTGGTCCAGGTAGAGGCAACATCCCAGTATAAACAAGGCCATCACCAGCAGAGCAGATACTGTCCGGCGCCTCGGCGGATAACTGTAAAAAGCACGACTCACGCCAAGCCCCTGAATCATTTGTATGATCAATGTCGTTAACAGCGAAGCCCCCAGGCCAATCACATTCCACCAGAGCCAGGACACTTGCGGTAACAACAGCGCCACCACAATGTTGGCCAACAGCCCAACGACAAAACCGCTCAGCGCAGCTTTCTGGCTGACCCCTCGCACCAGCAGTGCAACCACAAACATCGCCAGCAGAGGGCCGTTGGCCATCGAGCCAATCTTGTTGATGGCTTCCAGCACCGTGGGCGCAATCTGCTCAACCTGGAAAGAAAACCCGATACTGAAAAGCCCCCACAACAACGTGGTGACACGCGAGTACGTGAGGGTTTGGCGTTCGTTTAACGCTTTAAACGGCTTCACAAAATCTTCCATGGTAGCCGCGGAGAGGGAGTTGATTGCCGAATCAACTGAGGACATTGCTGCCGCAATCAAACCCACCATAACCAGGCCTACAAAGCCAGGTGCAAAATAATTCATCACATAGGTAGGAAAAACCATGTTGAAATTCGGCAGGCCCGCTGACGTCTGCGGCAACGTATTGATGAACTCCGGATGGGCGCTGGCAAACGCCGCCAGCCCCATGCCCAACAGGCAATAACTGAATACCAGTGGAAAGCGGAGCAGACCATTTAACAGCAGAACACGTTGCGAACCCGCGTCACTGTCTGCAGCCAGAACGCGCTGCGCCTGGCTCTGGTCACACCCGTAATACGCCATATATAGAAAGAAGCCACCTATGAGCATGGGCCAGAACCCGTAATCATTACCGCTGAAACCCCAATCATTAACCAGTGTATCAGTACGATCGGCAAAGAAAGCTGACCAGCTGGTGGCATCCGCCAGCAGGAATACGCTGACCCAGACAGCCGTCACCAACAGGCCAAGTTGAATAAGATCACTGAGTACAACTGCCCGCAGCCCACCCAGCACATCGTAAAAAATCGTTATCGCCATTAACAAGACAACAGACCAGGTGAACGAGATGCCGAGAATCGCACTCAGGATCAGCGCAACACCGTAGATCGTGACACCGGTAGCCACACCGCGAAACAACAGGAAAGCTGCGCTGGCTAATCTGCGGCTCGCAATGCCCAGACGTTGCTCCAGAATCTCATAAATAGAGGTTACCCGCGCCTGCCGAGCCGGTACGATGAGCCAGATCAGCGCTGCCATGGCCAACGGTACTGCCAGTTCATATTGCAGCCAGAGCAAACCACCGCCCAGTGTAAACCCCACAAAAGCAGGCGCCCCCAGCAGACTATTGGTAGAACACTGAGTCGCCATGGTCGAGGCTGCGAGCGGACCACTGCCCATGCCGCGACCAGCAAGGAAATAGTCTGTACTGTTAGCTTGTTTCCGCCCGACATAAGCTGCCAGCAGCAACATGCCACATAGATAGCTGAACAGTATTATCCAATCAAGCAGCACCATGTTGTGCACCTGTAAATAGCGGTTGACTCAATTGCAGCGGAAATTTGTTATCTTTCGCACTAACAGAGAACAGAGCATTCCTTGAACGATTCAGAAACAGAAAATACCGACACTGCATTTGCTGACTTACGCGGCAACAGCGGCGGCATAAACCCGGTTGAGCCACCGACCACCGCAACGCAGTACTACCTGTTGGAGTATCTTTCGCACCTTTATGGCGGTGGCGTTGCGCCTGAGTTGACCAAAGTGCTGTTGCAGACTGTGTCGAAGCGCCGCCAGGCAGATAGCACAGGAACATCAGAAACGAACACCCAGACCACCGCACCAATACTGGACGAACAGGACGTTCTGCTGATCACCTATGCAGATACGCTGGTTGATGGCGACAAACCACCGCTTCAAGTATTGAACCAGTTTGCCCTGAGTTATCTTGCTGACTATTTCAGCGGTATACATATCCTGCCGTTTTTCCCGTTTACTTCTGATGACGGTTTTGCAGTTGTCGACTACAACAGCGTGCGCGCTGATCTTGGCGACTGGCAGGACATCGAGGCCATGGCCGAAAATTTTGATCTGATGTTTGACCTTGTGATCAACCACTGTTCGAGGGAACACCTGTGGTTTGCGGATTTTGTGAATGGTTGTGCACCAGGCTGTGATTTTTTTATTGAGCTGCCAGCAGACACCATCGTGGATGAGGTAATCAGACCTCGCAACACTCCGCTGCTGAGCGAAGTGCAGACCTACGCGGGACCCAAACATGTATGGACCACTTTCAGCGACGATCAGATTGATCTGAATTTCAGCAACCCGGAGGTGCTGTGTCAGTTCATTGAAATCCTCTTTGATTACATTGAACGTGGTGCCCGCTACATACGCCTGGATGCCATCGCGTTCTTGTGGAAACGTCTCGGCACCAACTGCATGAGCCTGCCAGAGACACACATGGTCGTGAAAATCATGCGCCTGCTGATAGATTACACGGGGGCCGACGTTGTGCTGCTGACGGAAACCAATGTGCCGCATCAGGAAAACGTCAGCTACTTCGGACAAAAGGACGAAGCGCATATGGTGTATCAATTCAGCCTGGCGCCTCTGCTGCTGTACAGCTATCTGTTCAACGACGGCAGCTATCTGCAGAACTGGGCAAGCGAACTGCAGCAACCACCTGAGGGATGTGCGTATCTGAATTTCATCGCCAGTCACGACGGTATCGGCCTGCGACCACTTGAAGGTCTGTTGCCAGCCGAAGACATCGAAAAGTTGATCAGCAACGTACACGACCGCGGTGGTTTTGTGAGCATGCGCACTACCAGTGGAGGCGAGCAGAAAGCTTACGAGATGAATATCTCTCTTTTTGCGGCGTTTGGCGGCAGCGCCGACGTTATTCCCGCCTACGTTGGCGCCCATCAGCTTTTGCTGGCTTTTCAAGGTGTGCCTGCTTTATATCTGCGCGCGCTGTTGGGCAGCCAGAACGACCTGGCCGCAGTGGAAAGAACCGGACGTACGCGCTCAATCAACCGTGGCAAGCTGCATGTCAGCAATGTCCAGGAGGAAATCAGTGACGTCAACAGCTTACCGCACGAAGTCTTTAACGCCTTAACCCACGCCCTCCGGGTAAGACGTTTGCAGCCTGCCTTCAGCCCGGCAGCAAACCAGGAAGTGATAATCAGTGGCGCGCAGCTTCTGGTGATCAGACGAAATGCAACACAACAGAAGGTTCTGGTCATTGCTTCATTTTCTGCGAACATCCAATCTGTCTCACTGAGCAGTTTTATCGACCCGGATCTGCTGAACGCATCCGGCATAAAAGATCTTCTGACCCAAACCACATATGCTGCGGAACAGGCACTGGCGCTTGCCCCCTATCAGGTTGTATGGCTTGAACTAGAGCGCATTTAACTCTTTGTTAGCCTTCCTAGTTGTATGCTCACTAAAATCTTCTCTTACAGCTGCTAACAAATCCTCAAAGACGCTCGGATAAACGCTAGTCACCCGGTTCCAGGAAGGAATGTAAGGTGTTTCCTCACCGCTCTGTAAAAAAGATTCTCCAGCTTTAAGAATATTGCTGGCAAACAGCTCTACCGCACGCTCTTCCGCATCACGGTCCAGATTCAAGCCGTTGATTTCTGCATCATTAGCGTAAGATTCAATCAGGTCTAAGGCGACACGAAGATAGGAAGCTTTGATGGTGCGCACGGTGCCCATATCAAATACGGTGCCAAATGTAGCCAACTTCTTGAACAGGCTTTTAGCGATATCCATGCTCATACGTGACAAACCACTGCTGACGTCCTCAGCGGAGAGGGGCTGGTGTTTATGATCGTAGTTATCAGCAACCTCCACCTGGCACAATCTGTTAGTCGAATAGTTACGAAAAACTTCAGACAGCACACCAATCTCCAATCCCCAGTCCGAAGGAATACGCAGATCTTTGAGCACATCCGCGCGCATGGAAAACTCGCCCGCAAGGGGATAACGGAAGCTGTCCAGATAATCCAGGTAGGGATGAGCGCCAGTGACTTTTTTCATGGTGCGAATCAATGGAGATACCAGCAGGCGGCTGACCCGACCATTCAGTTTGCCGTCGGCGACCCGCGCATAGAATCCTTTACAGAATTCATAGTTAAAGCGTGGGTGGGCTACAGGGTATAACAAACGTGCCAACAAGCTTCGATCGTAGGTGGAGATATCGCAATCATGCAGTGCCACTGCTTTCGCCTGCCCCATCGCCTGGATCAACCCAAAGCAGTACCAGACATTACAGCCTTTCCCCAATTCTCCAGGGGCAAGATTCAATGTCCTGAGCTGATCAGCAACGGCACTCATACGAGGGCCATCATTCCAGATCACCGTATGGTCCTGGGGCAGGCGGCTGAAATACTGCAAAGCGTGCTGATATTCCTGTTCATTGGCGCGATCAAGCCCAATGACGATGTGTGACAGATACTTAGCCTGAGCAAGTTCATCAATAATGGTTGCCAGTGCTGGCTGGCGGAGTTCGGAGTACAGACAAGGCAACACCAGCGTCATAGGCCGTTCTCGAGCAAACAGTTCTAACTCAGCTTCCAGGTCCGAAAGTTCCTTGCTGGAAAGGTTATGCAGCGTGGTAATGATACCGTTCTGAAAAAAGTCACTCAAAATAAAGTCTCGTTATTGCTTCGAAGCTGGTAGAACCACTCGTTTGGAAAGCTCGGGTGCTTTGGATAACAGTTCATTAACCGCCTCAAGCCACGGCAAAGCGCCGGCAGATTTTGCCTTTACAGAAAAGGGGTGAGCACACGTCATGTAGCTCCCATCGCGTTGCGGGAAAAGCGCACAGCCCTGCGCGGCTTCCAACATGGGTTTATCATTTGGGCTGTCGCCACACGCCAGAATGATGAGTTTGGTGCCGCAGGTTGCGGCGATGACCTGCATCATCCGACGGGCCGCGACACCTTTGTCGGTAGGGTTCATGACGTGATAAAAGCGTCCTCCAGCGACAAGCTGTAAGCCGTGCGCGTTAAGCTGCGCTTTGAAGTCAGCCAGGCGAACTGATTCATCACTCCAGATAATCGGCTCCGATGCCAACCGCTGCTTCGCCAGGGCCGCTCCATGTATATCCAACCCGGTTGCCAATGCCACTTCTTCTGCTGACATCTCAGCAAAACCGCTGAATACAAAATTCTGACCGTGCTTTATTTTCTCCAGGACCTCACAAATCTGTTCATAACTCTTAGGGGGCGAAAAGCTTTCGCTCTGATTTAACTGATCGCCATACTCAAGCACAGCAGCCTGCAGATATTCCGGCCAGACAATACCGGCACCGTTTTCGCTGATCAGCGGTGCGTCGTAGGAAAAAAGGGCTTTCAGTTCCGATAGTTCCGCTTTGGTTTTACTGGAAACAGGAATCGTCAGAACGCCTCGCGCATAAAGCTCATTACACATGTAGGCGGCGCCAGCCAGATCGTAACGGTCATCAAGCAAAGTACCGTCCAAATCAGTAAACACAATTGCGTGTATAGCGTTGTTGTAGGCCACGATCAGGCTCCCTCTAACCACCATGGATGCTAAGAACGTCCGAAACGGTTTTAGTCCTGTGTCTCAGACATATTCCTGCTCAACGGTGTTGCAAAGAGTGGGCCAGAAAACGAGCTCTTTTTTTGAACAATAAAAGGGCATGAAGTTACAAAAAGGTGCAGATGCTGCGCTTCAAAATATTAGCGCACCAAATTTGTGCAGTTTTAATGCACAGAACTGGATTTAAAAAAAGTTGGCGGGGTTTGGCGCAGTTTTACGATCTATATAAACAAGCGGGATTAAATCGAACATACCGGGGAGGACACATGAACTTATATCTGCGACTCATCATCGTGCTGATCGCCAGCATGCGTCGCATACGCCTCAACTATGACGCACCCTGCGTCACTCGATTTCGGGTATGGCCCCATGATCTGGATGTATTTGGTCATATGAACAATGGCCGCTATCTACAGATCATGGATGTATCCCGCACCGAATGGATGGCCCGTACGGGCGTGCTCTCGGCCATGATGGATCAGAAGTGGTCTGCTGTGCTCGGCGGTGGGCTGACCCGTTATCGACGCACCCTGAAGCTGATGCAGAGTTATAACGTGCACACACAACTGGTGTATTGGGACACACGCTGGTTTTACTTTGAGCACACCTTTGTAGACCTGAACGGCAAAAAGGTCGCTGTCGGCGTCAGTCGTGCAGCGCTGCGAAGTCGCTCAAAATGGGTAAACACGCAGAAAGTTGTCGATCAGGTCAGTCCGGGCGCAGCGACCTTACCGCCGCCCGACTATATCCGCCAATGGCAGGACATCGACGAATCAATTTTCAAACAAGCAGGCTCTAGCCACGCGCTGGAAACAACCGACTTCATTGAGGCAACACCGTGAACCAGACCACCGCCGTTTATAATTTCTACGATCAGCTTACGAAAAAACCCTGGTTAACCGTCTCGCTGGGTTTATTTTTTATCGTCCTCGCCGGTAGCGGGCTGACGCGTCTGGTTAAGGATACCTCCATCGATGCGTTTGTTCCCGCAGGGCACGAATCGCTGCTGGCCAATGAGATGACCAAAACACTTTTTGGTTTAACTGAACCTATTGCGGTGGCGGTCTTCACTAAGAACGGTGACAGCGTATTGAGTGCTGAAACCCTCGCAGTTGTCGCCCAGATTACCGCAGCCCTGGGTGAGATCGACAATATCGATCCCGAACGAATCGCCAGCATTTCGTCGGAGTCATCCATAACCGGTGCTGCTGGCAGCATTCTCGTTGACCCCTATTTTGATCCAGACATTGATGATACCTACAGTATCAGCGAAACAGCCCGCCGATGGCGCAATATGCCACCCCACATCGATACCTTAGTCTCAGCAGATGAGCAGGCCGCCGTCATCATGGCGGAGGTTATAGACCCTCGCCAGGCATCAACCACCTATCTCGAGGTGCAGCAGTTCATCGAAACCCTGGGGCACCCGGAACTCGATTTTTATATCGCCGGGCCCGCGGCCGTGAGCGGCTATCTGTCTGATTATATAGACGCGGATGCCCGTGTTTTGCAGCCTGTTGTCTTCCTGATTGTGATTATCTTTCTGTATTTTGCATTCATGCGCGCGTCAGCGCTGTTGGGTCCCATCATCGTACTACTGGGTGCTGCTGGTGGAAGCCTCGGCATCATGGCGTGGCAGGGTATCCCCTACTTTGCTATCACCAATGCACTGCCCGTTATTCTGGTTGCCATTTCTGTTGCTGACGCGATTCATATTCTGTCAGCGTACTTTGAACGTAGAGCCCGCTTACCGGATACAGACCCGCGCCTGATTGTCATTGATGCCATGTTAGCCATGGCACGCCCCATCACACTGACAACGTTGACCACAATCGCTGGTTTTACCGGTATCGCGGTCATTTCAATCATGCCACCCATCGCCTATTTTGCCTGGTACGCCATGCTCGGCGTAGCGCTGGCCTGGGTATTTTCAATTTTTGTCCTTCCCGCCGTATTAACGTTGCTGCAGCCTAAACCCAGCCCGCTGTTTTCAGATTTTGGTATGAAAGGTCCGGATTTTATCGGCGTATGGCTGGGCAACGTCAGCCTGTTGGGTGCACGTTATCCCTTCGCAGTTGTCGGCGCATTTGCTTTGATCATCGTGATCGCTGTGACTGGCGCTCTGGAACTTCGCGTTGACCGATCTCAAGTGAACAACTTTGCTCCGGACGAACCCATTCGCATCGCAGACGAGCGCATTCACAATACATTTGCAGGCACCGCTTTTCTTGATGTCATTATTGCAACAGAGGAGCCGGACGGTCTGCTGAATGCTCGGCGGATGCAAAAAATTGCTGACCTCCAGGCATGGCTTGAAGATCACGAGCATGTGAGCAAAACCGTAAGTATTGCCGACTACCTTACTCTGCTGCACAGCGCCATCAACAACCAGGAGGTGAGCGAGAGCCGAAACCTGCCTGACACCGACGACGCCATCGCCCAGTACCTCATGGTGTATGAAGCATCTGGCGACCCAAGTGACCTGGAAGAAGAAATTACGCCAGACTACGACGCCGCTCTAGTGCGCACCGTGTTGAACTCCCACTACTTTTCCGACAGCCGCGAAGTGGTCCTGGAACTGCAGGACTATCTATCCAACAGTTTTATTGAGCCTGGAATGGAAGCCACAATTGCCGGAGACGTAAATGTAGCCTTCCATTGGATGACACGTCTGCAGGAAAGTCATTTTACCGGCGTTGCCCTGTCTCTTCTGCTGGTATTGATTATGTCCATCTGCGTATTCCGCTCTATCGGTGTCGGATTCATCGCCGTTATTCCAGTGACATTTACCGTGCTGTGCATTTATGGCGTGATGGGTACCCTGGATATCTACCTTGAACCCG